TAGTAACAGCATTTTGGGGGTCCTGTTCAGAAAAACATAATTCGTGAAGAAGAATCAAAGTACATTGATAATCTCAGACATTAACAATATTATGAAAGTATTTAGTGTGCATTTCCTGTCAGAGCACACAAATAGCTAGAAAAGAATGGTAAATCTACTAGAGAAGATTTTCACATAATTTATGATTTTTTAAGGATGATGAGCTCAGACATCTCTTATAAGCATTATACAGTCAAATTAACAAGCAGCACTGTAACACTATAATTAAATTAAAAATATACAGACTTACACATCACCCCCTATGAAATATATCAGTTTTTCTGCCATTCAGTGGGGGGTGTGTGTGTGTATGTGTACAAATAATAACAACAACAATAATGCAAAGAAGATCAGGGAAACTCAAGATTAGAGATCAAGCTTCATCTTTGGTCCATCTCACTATATGGCATTCTGCCAGCACATATGGCACACAATGTCACAATCTGATCAGCTCAAGCACTAATACTCAAGAATGACTGAAGCACAGCCTTAGTTTGAGGTACAAATGAAAGTAAATGAGTGTTAGAGCTTAACATTTCAGGTGACTTTTATCAACCAGGTTTTTGCTACCACCTTTTAATCTTACCCAGACTTTTCAGAACAGCACTTTTCCACAACTGCCCTCCTTCCTTTTCTCCTGTCCATTCCCCCTTATTATCTCCCCTTAGTTCTGTATTTAAATTCGCTTTCCTCTTAATAAATCTACATTAAAAAAAAAGTTCTTGCCACAAACCTGGCGTATGTTTTCTCTGTAGCTTCAATGGACAAGATGTCCTTTAAACAAACTCTTTGAAACATAGACTACCTACTCCTAAATTTTCCACAGACGGGTTTCACTTTGTTCTGTTCTTACTCATGTTCTAAGAACATACCAACAGCAAGAACCTTCTCATGGTGTTATAAGCGTGGAAACCAATTCTTTAAAATAAAAACCCACTTATGCATATAAATACACTATTTCAGGAAAATGTTTTTAGACCCGAAGTGGCTATAAATAGTGTCTAAGTAGTCTTTCCGCTCCGGTGCCGAGCCGTTCGGCACACGCGCGGTTATACTTGTTCGCCTCAGCGCTTTGCGAGGTACCCCCAAAATCACATCATAAATACTGAGCAGATGAGCCTTCCTCCCCTTCTGAAGATTGCCGGCCCGCCATCGCGCTCTGCCGCGACTCTGTTTCCTTCGCTCCTGCGGCGCGGGCTTATGGCTCGTTGGCAACACGGCGTGAGGTGCGGCTGTATTTCTCGGCAGTCTCAGGTTTTTTGTGTGGTTTTGCTGTCTTCCGCTTCTCGAGACTGTTGAAAAAAGAATGTGTTCTTTACAGAAATTTTATGTATGCATGTGTTATAAAGATGTATTTATATATACTTTGACGTTTGATTACACTTAATGCATTTTTGTAATTGTCAGAAAATTATGGCATCTAAGATGTATCATGGTGAACAGTTAATATGCTTTCTGTGTGTTTAAACATAGCTATGAGATGAGATACAGAAAATAATGTTAAAATGCAAGTATAGCTCTTGGACACAAAAACCCAGTGTGTATGCAGCAGTGCATTGGCAGGCTGTGTCAAAATGAAGACAGTGATGGTTTTCTGACAAAAAATGTAGCAGAGACCTAATTTTATTTATTTATTTTTTTAAAATTATGCATGTGTGCCATGTATCAGAGGTCCAGGGAAGGTTGTCAGGGACTTCACTGAAGCTGAACTGGATTCTCTGTCACACTGATTGTTAAAAATGTTAAGAACGACAGTGACTTCAAGTCTGCTTGAGAACTTTTGCTGAGGATCAGCTGCAGGGCAGAGCAGAATCATGTTATTCTCTCTCTGTTCTTTCTGAAAAGGAATAGAGAGAAATGTCCCAAAGGCCATCCAATGAGGCGAGGCATTCTACCTGGCTGCACAGCCATGACTCTGCCAGGGATGAGCAAGGAATGTGGAACTTGATGGTTCCTCCTGCCACACAGGTCCCAGCATTACATCCCAAGAAGGTCAGTTCGCTAGTAAAACACCGAATCCTTCCGTTTACTTACAAAGCTATCACTTGTTGTTTACTTGCCTTTGGAGGCACTGATTAATAGAAAACATAGAAACCAAACTGTTTCCCAATACATATGATAAATGATGGTAATGGAGATGGTAAATCAGAGGGAGTGTGGAAAAAGAAGACGACTTTGTCTGAACAAAGCTGAACTTTGTTCATAACTTTGCTGAACATACACTTGGATAAGAAAAGTCCATTTAAAACTTCGTTTAATCTACAAAACACTAGATAAACACACATAGTCTTTTGAATTTAATCTCAATCTCATGATGGTGCTACTGTGGTTTGCCTCTTTCGTGGAATAGTTTAGTTTTCACTGGAGGTCCTGAGATCAAATCAGTGAGGCTGTATCTCTGGAGGGCAAGAGTTTCAGGATGAAAGGTAAAGCTACTCCCCAGTTATTGACTCATAAGGAAGAGTAAATTCTGGATTTAAAATTATTCTGTTTCCTGCTCAGAATATTGGGCCTTTCACAAGGAAGTAGCAAATTCCTATAGCCTGGAAATAGATTTCAAGAACCAAGTATCCATCCTCAGGAAGAAGTATGGAAGAATTGGTAGCATTACTTGATGCACCTGCTTTGGAGGACAACCATACCACTCTTAAATATTTGCATAGTAGCAGCCTATCAGGAACTGACAGATGGAAGACCCTGTTCTCTGCTGTTTGTAACTTTTTACTCAGTCATTTTTATCCCATGTCTTTGGGATGGTCTTTGGCTTGCTTTGAACTCCCTAGTTATTATTGCAAAGAAGGTAACTCCCATGAATAGCAAAAGATGTAGGGTGTGGGCTTTAGAGAGCTTGAAAATCAGGATTAGTAGAGGAGGAGTTCTTCATTGCCTAGTGACAAGACCGGGCACTGCAGTCTGTTCTTGGAACACTTTTCAAGAGAAAATAGTAATTGTGTGACTATTTTACAGATGTTGCAGGTGGCCAACAGACAATGTCAGTGGGGCTGGATACATTCTTAGAATTATTCCCCAGTGCTAACCTTGCACAGGATCTGCCAGATGAGTCCAGCAGTCCGTGCAAACCATCTTTGTGTTGTCATCACAGAAATGGGCCTGTCTGCTTTTTAGTCATTAAAACAGTAAAGTTCTACTCTGTACATTTTATATTATGTTTACCAGGACATTCTTTTAAAACATTACTTCTGGAAACAGTTTTCACTCATTTCAAGAAATGATTTCCAGAACTTTGGGGTAACAATTCAGCAAAATCCTTGCATAATCTATAGGAGACTTGTTAACGTCAGCATCATAGCTCCAGTTTCAGGTAGCTTAAAGAAAAATACTGAGCCAAAGTATAATCTGGCTTGAGGTAATTTAAGTAATTGCAGGCTTGTGGGGCCTTGCCAGGTCTTGTAATGCAGACATTTAGATCAGTGATGATGTAGAAAGGACAAGACAGAGCTGCCTTGATGGAAAGCTTCATATTAGCTTTTAGTCTTCCTGCAAAGCTCTATCAACAGATTAACAGTGACATAAAAATGCCTATAGATATTACACTGTATGTCTCCATAAAGTTCACATACCATTAACTGAAAAACACATTTTACATGAAAAAAAAATCAGTATCTTAACAAATTTGTCAATGGATAACAAATTACTTACTCCTAAGTATTTTATAGATCCAGTTGTCCTTAATGTTAAGAGTCTGAAGAAAGCTTTAAATAACATTTTTCAGTGGAATACTCAACGCTTTCCTACTGCTTTCTGTCCTTTCGTGAAATCCTAGTTATTATTAGCTTTTCTTATCAAAGGCAGTTCTCTCCAGTGTTCATCAGTGTTATCCTTGAATTTAAATGTTGTACAAATTCAGACACACAGTACAGTCATAATCTATCAAATTAACCAGGTCATGATCTGAAATTTCTCAACTATGGTGTTACTTCTCGAAGGACAGAGAAAGCGAAGTCTGTTCTAAAGCCTGTCTGTACAAAAGCTGTTTATAGATGAAAATTTTGAGCTGGGCTTGCCACTGAAAAAAAAGCTTTACTGGGTGCAACTGGGTGTTTGTGTTCCAACCTAATTCTTTGCCTGTGTCAGCCTGTTTGTGATGCCATACAGGGAACTGATTGAGCTGGCTGAAAAATAACCAGTTTT